TATTTTTTATCAAATAAGATTGGTTTTTTTAGATATCTAAGTTTTCACTGTTCGCTCGTTATAGTAAGTTTATTTTATTCTATTTTATTAATGAATGAAGCCATTGAGAGGTTCTTTTGTTGTTTTTATTGAAAATTGAAATATGTATATATATTCTTTTCAGCATCAACATCATGTACCAAAACGGAAAATTGTCCGCAATCGTAAGTTAAATGTTCGAAGGATGAAGGTATACATAGACATTTAGAATGATTTTACTTTCTTTAACGCTTCTTTCACGCATTGTTGCTTTTCATATACGTATTCATCTATATTCTCTGTATATATATTTTTTGTCTGATTATGATGCTAGATTCTTATATGCTTTATTCGATTAGTTTACCTTAGAATGCCTACCTGAAATCTATTTGCTTCTTTCAGAAAATGTAACATGTTCCATCATCTGTAAGATATTATTCAAAAATACAAAACATAGGCATTCTGCATGTTTTTATATATGAATTTTGCATGATTGCTTCTCTGTTATTTTCATACTCAAGCATGCGGTTAACTTTTCTTTTACAGTTAATGATATTATTTTAAAGGCCTCTATTCTCTTCGATTTTAGGAAAAATCAATCCATCAACAAATGGCCGAAGCCCATCAAGAAATCGTCAATGTACGTGCTTTCCACATTGTTAAATTAATTTATGTTATTATCTTACCTTCCAGCTCATTCAACAACACCAAGCACAGACACAACAACACCAAACAGAAACCCAACAACTACAATAACAGATACAAGATTTAGAACACCAGGTCGAACATCTTCAGCAGGAATTGCAACAAATACAACAAGCTGCACCTCCACAACCAAATGCAGTACCACAGCAGCATCATCACAACTTCAACAGCCGCAGGTACCACAACAGTCTTCATTACCACCTCAAGAAGAACAACAGCAACAAGAAGTCGTAGCATCACCAGAAGCACAAGTTCCACAACATCAGAACCTCAAAGCACGAGGAGCACGCGTGCGAAGACGGCTCAGATGCTTAGTTCGACCACGTCCTCGAGTCCGTCATTTGTCATCGAGAAGCGATTAGATTAAGGTATGCTTTTCTACTATTGCCATCAATTCTTACCACACTATTTCAGTTATTTTTTTCATTCTAGGTATTGTATATAAATATCAATAGTGAGTACTCCAGAAAAATATTTATTTGCATCACAATGAGTTCTATTTTTCTGTTTTAGATTAAAAAAAATTATTAAAGTTTAAAAATAAAAAAATAAAAAAAACCAAAACAAAGTAATATTGACATATACTACGTATTTATTTGGTTAATATAAAAAAATCTGTTCTTCATTTAGCCCACATAAATTTAATTTATACAATAAAAATGATGATCAATTACTAATGATATAATCTTGGCCAATTCAAGCTGTTTGTCTGGATCTAAATATTTTGAAAATGAACATATTTGTTATTGATGATACATAAGTAAGTTAATAAAATATATGTGATTTAAAAACAATGTCTTTATTTCTTTAAATAGTTTATCTTGAATGAATGAGGAAGTTTTGGTCGACATAAAACAATAATATTATTTAA